GGAACTTCAGCAGGAAAGGTTCCCATACCTCTGTCTCTGTTAGAATAATCCTAAATGTCTTCACGCCTCTCCCTCCCACTTTCCTTCACACATTCACACAGGGCAAAAGCACACACCCACTCACATGAGGGATAAATGGGCGTTCTCTGTACCGTGTGGCGGCCGGCAGTCTTGTGCTGATGATGACTGCTGGAATCTGTGCGGGTGCCAGAGCAGGCATGGCCGCCCACGGGCATCCAGAGACGGCCCAAAGCCACAGGAACCACCAGCAGCCCTCGCCACCGCTCTCCTCCCTCCTTTCATCCCTCCCTCCCTCCCCTTTTGAGTGGTACTACCAACACTCCTTCACAATCCTGACTGCATGAGATGAAGCTGCCAGTGTGTGGCTACTTCAAACGCTCGCATCAGAGTCAAACATTCCTCTTTGCCTTGAGCCAATAGCTTTTATCTTAGGTCTGCTTGTCTGTAGTGTACCGTGGGATAGTTAGCACGGGCTTACATCAAAAGTAGGTCATGAAAAAACGAATTGATGTTGTACACTTTTAATCAAAATGCATTTGACCTTTTATTTATTTTTGTGCAGGACAATAAATGAGCGTCAGTTGTCAAACTGACCTTGTGTTTTTCTTTCTTCCCAGGCCGCTATTTCGAGGAAACTCAGATGTTGATCAGCTGGGAAAGATTTTTGAGTAAGTATTATTGGCTGTGCTTCCTGTTACAGTCTCCCTGGTCCTGTATGTTTCAAACTGATTGAACAGACTTTATAAAAAGAAAGATATTTCACAATTATAGGTCAATCAAAAGTCATTCAGGGAACTTAATCAGGGTAACCTATTATCCTGCTAATAGGAACAGGATGTCCATACAACTTATTCTCTGTAATGAATTAAAAGCCCCCCAGATTAGGTTACGCTGCTCATTTGTTAATTTTTAGCACCACTTCGCACCCTTCCAGTTTCTTCAGTAAACCTAACAATATATTTCAAAATAGTTGAGCACGAGAGGCGTTGAATGCTGAACATTGCTGACAAAGAGTCACTAATGTCCATTATCATCCCACAGTGTTGTTGGGCTCCCTTCAGTAGAGGACTGGCCCCAGGAAGTGGCCCTACCACAGAGTGCCTTCACCCCCCGGCCCCCGAAGCAATTGGAGGACTTGGTTCCAGATATGGACGAGCAAGGGCAGGCCCTCTTGATGGTGAGTAGTACGAGACGCAGTATTTTTTTAGCAATTTACAATATTATTTCAACTTTATTTAATGGTTGATCTCCTTCTCTTTTATTTCTCCTCGCTCTTTGCAGCAATTCCTCGCCTTCAACCCCTCCAGGAGGATATCAGCGTTTGCTGCGCTCAGCCATCCCTACTTCCAAAGTGTCGACAGCCACAGTAGGAGTGTGTACGCAGCCCAGCCCATCCCCCCCAACAAGCCCACTATGGAGGAGCGGACTGCCTGATGGTCCTCCTTCACTCTTAATCATCCCATACAGTGTCTATAAAAAGTATTTTGCAAACCCTGCCTTGGAGTATATTCATGTTTCTATTTTTACAGCATTAAATCATAGTGTGTTGATTTAAGCTTTTTTGACACTGATTGACATTGTATGCTGTATAAGCAAAACAAATGTACAAAATGGAGGTCATTTTGGTACAAATAGATTACATAAAGTGATTGATACAGAGGCATGTTATATCTGTGGTAGGTTATAGCCTTGAGTCTATCTGGTTAAATCTTTTTTACCAAAGTCCTCAAGCTCAGTCAGGGTAAAATAGTAGCTTTATAGTTCTGCAGCGAATTCTGTCTGGATTGTGATTTAGCCACTTGGGTGAAGTCCTTCTAGAGATAGTTATTTGCTGATTTTAAAGGTTATGTTTTTTAGGTTGCTGTCCTGCTACAAAGATTGCAATTGCTACAACATGGAATTACAAACACCAGGCTTTGCATTGCATTTTATTAGTTAGTCACATAGCTAGATTTTGGTGACATCCCACCATAGTCTTCTTTTACTTCTACATGTCTTAACAGACAACAGTGGCTTTCTCTTAGCCAGTTGACCATAAAGCTAGAAAAGCACTAAGGTGGCAGTTGCCAAAGGTGTAAAATCTCTGAGTATGAACTGATCTAGACAGATTTGCACTACATATTCAAGTGCCTTCATATTTCACATATTTCCTTCCATTGATTAGTTATTTCACTAAACTTGCATTTGTTGTCTAGTTTATGCAAATACAGACATTTTGTTATGACAATCTGTGTCAAAAAAGCTTAACTATGATTTTATGTTGTACAAAACAAAACACGAAAAATGTCAGGGGGCAAATACTTTTTAAAAAAAAAGTCAATATACAAAGCTGTAGTATTCCTACAGAGAGTGTAAAGAAAGTGACACCAATACTCTCACCATTGAAAGAAAATGCACAAAAGCTATCCTCCTTCCATGAACTGATGGATTGTAATTGCTGCTTTTAGGTTATTAAATGTTGATTGACTGTGTTGACAATGCAAAGCCTTGCATGTCAGATGTACTGGTAGATGGAGGCCATGAAGTGGAGGCCTTATTATGACCAGTGTTCAATAAGCCCTCTTGACTGGGGGACCGGACCACAGAGGAGTTATGGTGGACAACATGACTCTCACCTGCCTTTACCATTAACTGTGTGTTGTGCGTGGAGCAGATACACAGTACACTCAGATACATACACAACATTTAGTGTGTGCACTACCACTGACGTTAGCACACTCATGTACACAGATCCCTATAGCAACATTATTGGGCATCACAAGCCAGCCACTCACTGCCAAGTCGTGTCCATAGACTGTATAAAATAGGTTATCTTATCATTCCAGTCCTACATGTATTATAATACTGCAACCTTGAGGATGTCCTTGGTAACTGCAGACCAGTAGCGGGATTCTAATGGTTTCTGCACTCTTCAAGGAGCTTATCGTAATGGGCTGATATCAGTGCTGAGACAATGATGAAAAAAACCTAATATACACGCTCCTGCCACCAACAGGCATGCAATAGGTGGACAAAGTCCCACCAGCACTATTCCAACATGAATACATGTGGCACAGAATAGAGTCGCCAATATTCTGTATTTAATTGTAATGTTATATGCTTTTTTTCATCAAGTTGTTACTTGATTCTTTTTTTCAATGATGCTGGGGCATACAATATTCTTATACCAATTACACCAACTCTTTAGACAATTATAGAATTTGTGTGAGAATAGTTTTACAATGTAAGGAATGTGTAAAGGATAGGCATTGGTACTGAACATTATAGATTAAGTACACGCTGTAATGATAGAAAGCTTTGGATACGTGCCCATAAATATGTCGTAAAATGGATAGATGTAGAGTAGCGATGGGTCAGTGGAAGGTTGTTTGGCAGGAGTATTTTTGTCTATTGGAAATAATTGGTGGGCTCTGTGGGTGCTTATTAAATGCATTTGCCTTGGATCCAGAGCTGTGAGTTTTACAGTGGTTTGAAAATGAAATAATGCACGAATATTTTGTGTACAGTTTTCCCTTTTTTTAAAGTCATGTCCACATATATTCAAAATCAGTTTGTTTTTTTACCAGCGAAAAAAGCAAGTTATGCAGAGTTGTATTTTTGTATTTAGTAGTTCTTGCAGAACAGTAACATTTTAACACTGGTTTATGTTTTCTTAACAGGTAGTGCTGCTAGCACACACACACAGACACACTCTTTCTCAGGTTCTTGGTATTTTCGTCCAAACCTTTTGGGCACAGTTTGCACATCCCTTGGCTACTCATTAACAACATCATAACACATTCAGGTTTTCTTCAAGCTGTTCCATGATCATTTCATTGATCATACTCTACTGCCATTTCTATTTATCAAATATATGTTACTGTAGTCATTACTGTCTGAGGATAACTGCCTGTATCGACTGGTTTTGCCAGCAACTTTTAATTGCTAAATGGCGAACACAATGTAGGTTCATGTTTGTCTGCTTGATTAAGCACTGTGTGATTTTATTTTTAAATTTCATAACTCACATCTGATGTCAGTGGTGTGTTCAATGTAATGAAAGCTATAAATATAATTTTTCTTTAAATTACTGTTAATACATTTCAAAACTGAACTCCGTTGTTGATCCATCATATAACTCAAATTAAACTGTGTCACATTTGTTTCTATCATAATGGAAATGGTTACTAGGAACAACACAATGATGGCATTATACTTGTGTATGAATGCAGGCTTTGGTGTCTTATTATTGTGTTGCACCATTGAATAAAAAGCAGCTTTTTGTGAATCTGGTATTGGACTCATTTGTAAGTATGAATGAATTCCATTAGTGAATGTGTAGGTATTTATTCTTGGAATAAGGGAACATTATAGGTAACACAATTTTTGTTGAAAATAATAATATAATATAGATAATAATAACATGTTATTAATGTAGTAAAACCACCAGGGAAATTGTTAGGAGATGTGTAAAGGGATTTTGGTAGAACTTGACTTTATCTAGATAAAGAAAGACAACAATTGAAATGGAGCTACAAGGACTTGAGTGCCACAATATTGAACTGAAAAAAAAAGATCGGACCACCTTGTACAGACATTCAAATGTCATGTGTTTGGACTGAGTGTGGTCATTTATATGGATTCCAGCCGTATTGGGATCAATGAAAGCAGATACTCAATAATACTCAACGAAAACATTTGTTTTTATTGCACCTGACCTTTCATACAGTTTAGTGCAGTTCGAAGTGTTTAACATAGGACTGACAATCCAAAACAAGTGTTATAAAAAATATAAGAACAAGGGATGTGAGACGGAACAAAAATACAACGTGTAGCCTAATTACAATAGATGTATACAGTATGAAATAAAAATGTACAAATACACATTGACATAGTGGTCAGGGTTAATGGTATTCTATAACTTAAAGAACATTTGGAGAACTACTTGACTAATCATTTATAATGTAGCCCAAATCCACACTACCTAGTCCTACCAGTTGGTGGCGGTATTTCAATGTTAGCTAACCCAAAACGAAGAAGAGTCATCTTTTCTGATGTGGCTAGGTTCATGGGCTAGGTCCATGTTAGCCAGGTAGCACTCATGGTAGCTCTTTCTTTTGGATATTATTTCCCCATCACTAACTCGCCATGGGCAAGAGAGACAATCGAGTGGTGAGTTGTTTTACAAAATATGTGTGAAAAATAAGAAACCATTAACACAGGGTTCCTTTTTCTAAGCTTGCTAGGCTTAATACAAGCTGATGCTAGCGTAATCGCAGTTACTAGCGTTGGCTAACTGATGTTAAATGTATGCCATTCTGATGCTAGGCCTAGGTAGTGCGTTAACATAATAAAACCGCAACAATAATATAATTTGAAATTACATCTGTTTATGTAAATCGCTTTGTGCATCGAGTAGTCGTAAAAAAGCGAGTCTGTAGCTCAGCCAACAGGCCTCTAAGCTACCAATGCTAACTGTGACGTTAGCTCATAACATCTTGGACAATGTGTTGACGTGGTGAGGTTGCGCAGGATTTGTATTTGCATCCTGAGTCTATATACAGCTTTAACACACTAGAAGGGATTTAATAAACCAATATGACGTTTAGATACACGGTAGCTGTGTTAAAAAAACCATTTTCTGATTACTAATTTTATCAATGACGCACATAATCTCTGGTTGTGTTTTGCTGAAGGTAAATCGTTCAGTATACGGCAAATAAGGTAGCTTGCAGGTTGCAAGATAATACCGTTAAGTACATCGTTTATATTTGATTATTGGGCTTTACAAAAACGGATTTATATATCTTATGAACTGTCTTTTGTTTAATTCATTTTGTTTTTAATTATTATGTGACAGTGTTAATGTATATGTGAAGCACTTTGAATTGCTGCAATGTGCGATATATATAAACTAACCTTAACATTTCCCTGTACTAAAACTGTTTATAACATAAAAGCCCCAGTTTGGTTTTCAGTTTAATGCTAAATTAAGGATGTAGGCTTTCGTATTGCAATATACTGTTTAACTGCATAACTGTTTAATTAAGGTGTATTTCAATAACATTTATAAAATGCATTATTCTGTTTGGTGTTCCAGGCTTACATCAACCCCATTGCAGCTTCACGAGCCAAGGGACCGTCTGGTAACGCCGGACCAACTATACAAGATTATTTAGGCAGACCTCGGCCAACATGGTGAGCGAAAGACAGACGTCCTCATTGGCCTTCACTCACATAAATATTTAAAGCTGGTGCTGAGAGGATTATGCAGTTTTGTAGTCCATGTTTCTCCCTAGAGACAGCTGGAAGCAGCACATGTCTTCCAGGCTCATAAAGATATAGAAACACTTGTAAATAACAACTATCTTCATTTGGTCAGTCAGTGTAAAACACTGCAAACACTGGTCTCAAATGCATCCTTGGGCTTTTCCTAAATATTTAAGTGTCACCGTCTTATTCAACTCCAATGACACAGCAGAAAACAAATACTGGTTGATTTTAGTCAGTGTTGTTGCAACATCATCCTTGCTATATTCCATGGAATGCTCTTAGAAGTGCTTTGACAAAAAATCCATACAAAAATGTCATCTGTGGAAGCCGTAGTACTGTAAAAAGCACGACCGATCATAACTGGATGGCCTACCTACATGCCAGCCTTCCATCTGTGCACAAACTTATCTCGTGCCCTCATTGGTCATGTGTGTTGGAGGAGAGGCTCTGTAAGGAAGTGGTAGATTTTTCCGGCTGTGTATTTTCAAATTCTAGCGCACTCGGGCTGGTTTCTCCAAAATTACCTACCCCACCTTTAAGCAAAGAGCTTTTGCCTTTTATATTTTAGAAAACATTATTTAGATATTTATCTCGGGAACATAATCATATGAAAGGATACACATTTATTTTATTGTTTACCTTTTGTATTTTGTCTTTTCTCACACTGTATTCTAAATGGTTAGCTAAAGTTTTATCTGGTAAAATGTCATTTCTGATCCCAAATGAAACAAGGCAGCATATTTCAATAATTACCTTCTATACCTCAAAGCCAGTTTGAACGTTTATTTTGCATTACCTAAGGAACAATGTTTTTTAAATGCCATATTTACAATGACACGACAGGATTATTAAATGGGGCTTTAATATATAATATTTTATTATAACTGAAACTATTTGGCTAGCAAATCCTGGAAATGGATAGGACAATTGAATCATGCATTTAAGAATGAACAATACTTTTGTTAATTTGGGTTAACATAGTAAGTTAAAACATTTAACATTATAAACTGTGCTGCAACTGATTTATTGTCTCTCTTTCAGGGAGGAGTTAAAGGAACAGCTGGAGAGAAAGAAGAAGGGCTCTCGAGCCCTGGCCGACTTCGAGGACAAAATGAACGAGGTATGTTTTTTGGAATATGTAGACTGACTCTGACATTATTTTGTTCTTAATGATCCCCTTTTTTACCTAAAATCATGTTCAATCCCAGCTGTGAGTGTCACGCCTAATGGCAATATTTTTTACTGTACCCATAAACTTGTATTCATATGTGAGGGGCTCAACTGACAAACAAATATAAATGGTGAATACTTTTTAAATGGATTTGCTGTCATTTTCAGAAATGGAGGAAAGAACTGGCTAAAAACCGAGAGAAGTTGTTGAGTGCAATTGAGAAGGAAAAAGAGAAGAAGACAGCGGACAAGGAAAAAGAGAAAAAGACAGCGGACAAGGAAAAAGAGAAGAAGACAGCTGACAAGGAAAAAGACAAGAAGACAGCAGACAAGGAAAAAGAAGAGAAGAAAGAAAAAAAAGAGGTATTGTATCTCTCCTTCATCGGACATTTAAACATTCTTGATTCTAATTCATCACAGTCTTTACTGACTATGCATCTTTTATTTGTGTTTAGAAAAAGAAGAAAGAGAAGAAGAAATCCAACAGGGTGAGGAGAGACCTCCAGTATTTTGATGGCCAGCTGAATCACAGTTTACACACACACACACACACACACACACACACAGAGCCTTCCTGTACTCCTGATATGGTCTTTTACTGTTCCAATATCCAAAATAAGAAAATAATAACCTCAAGTCTAATGAACCCTGCTTTCATTGTGTTTTGGTCAAGCATTCTTCATCTTCCTCCTCATCGAGTTCTGATTCTTCCAGCAGCTCCTCCTCAGAATCTGAAGACACAGTAAGTCATTGCAGACTTCACACATGTGATACAAAATATTGCTAAACACTAAGAACATGTTGTAACCCATAATCCCACTGAAGCTATGTGCTCCTGAAATGGCTGCTGTTTGCTTATAGAGCACAGTTAACAGGTGTTTCTCAATGTCGAGGACGCTTCCTTGGTAGGACAAATCACTCCAAGTCAGGTCCTTCAGAAGCGAGGCAAGAATCCTTCCTAGCCTCGGGAAAACGAAGAATGGTGGAACAGGCTAGCAGGTGTGCACCGCCCTAAATGGAGCGTGATTTCTGCCAAAGATTTGTAAATCGGTCTGTGCGTAAAGCATTGTGGGGATTTTAAGACCGGAGTCTACACATGTGCAGCCTCGAAATTTCCCCCAACGAAGGACGCCAGCTTCGGTAGAATTCCAAGTATCTTGGACATTGGAACAGTCTTTCGACGGCACTCGATGACGAAATAGTGGCTCTGGAGCAGCCTTCCTCGAAATTGAGAAACACCCACAGCCTCGTTCTAACAATAGCTTCCTGTGTTTGAATAAAGATAAGATGAAATTTACTTTATTAATTCTAATTTGGGATTTTCTTTAGAGAGTAAGAAAAATAAACTATACACTGACTGACAAATAAAAACACTAGAAGGGCCAGTTTTCTGTTAATCAGATGCACACAATATAAGCAGGATATTCTTTACATCAAGTGTGCATGGAACGGAAAGAACATCTGTTTTAAATCCCTAACGAAGTTGTTATCGGACAATTTATTAGAGACATCATAAGGTCCTACACTAATGCAGCATTACATTGGTTTGATTGCGTTTCTATTTGTGTATACAGGATGAAAAGAAGAGTGTGAAGAAAAAGCGTAAGAGAAAGAAGTCCTCAGTCAGGAGAGCGTCGAACGGCTCTGAGGACGACTCTGATGCTGAAAGCAAGGTTTTCTTCTTCTTCTCTCAACAGTGTTTGAGTACACTCCAATAGAATCAGGTTCTGGTGTCGTAATCCAATAATGAATCCATGCCAGTGTTTAATCTAAATGTTGTTGATTTTCTTCCCAAGAAGAAGAAGAAAAGGATCAAGGAAGAAGGGGACAAAGATAAGGTAACTTATTTTATTCACCGTGTTCATATTTCCACAGATATGTGTTATGTTTTATTTAACATCTTGTCCTTTTTGTTCTTGCCAGTTAAATCAAGTCTTAACAATTTATATTAATAATTCATAATGGTGATGTTAATCTTTTGTCTGTCAGGATGACAAGAGCCGTAAAAAAAAAAGGAAGTCCGAGCGAAGCCATAAAGACTCGTCTTCAGAGTCCTCTGCTGAATCAGAGGGGGAAGAGGTATTTTTTATTATTACTAGGACTGTAGATGTAACCATCTCTTTCACCACTTCTCATCCCGATTACAGTTTTTACCAGTTAAACTGTAGACCCTTTTAACCTTTTATCACTTCTTTGTTCTTCATTATTATGGCCTTTGTTCTTCTTTTAATTCAACTTAGGGGGATGGACCCATTGAGTGCACAGGTCACGCTGAGTTATGAGTAATACAGCAGTGAACAGTTAACAACCCACTTCCCTAAGAATTTAACATTGTTTTTGTCACTGCTGTTTACATTTCTCAAAAAATGCACTTGGCCTACGAGAAAGTCCTTCTTGTTTTTTCACATTTTTCTTTTGAAGCGTAACGGCCTTAACAACACCCACTTGTCTTTGTGCAACCCTGTGTTGCATAAAGACAAAAAGTCATCATCGAATAACTACTGGACAGAAAGTCGGAACACATATTTAACAGAAAGCACTCATGTAAAGTCGCTCCACAAGTACTTGCAAAACATACACCTACACATGGCCACATACCATATTCTAAGAAAACAAATATATATTTTACATACTTTAATTTGCTCACACGCCAATAAATATTGCATTAGGGAACATAAAGGGATACCTTATGAAAATGACACTGATAAAAGAGCCAGTCACAAACTAATCTCTGGTAATATCTTCAACAAGTGACTCCCGTCTGCACTGTAGGTCTTTTTAATGGATTAACCGTACATTACATTACACGATTTGCCAAATACAGTTAAGTATCAGTTCTCCTTGTGTGGTTTCTCGTCCAGATGTGCTAGCTTTCTCTCTGTCACGCGTCATTGGGAGTCTGGTAAATGATATTTCAGAAGCAGGCTCATTCACAGTAGCCATTAATGTAAAACAATATATAGAGAGGCAAAGTCCCGCCCATCTACTTTCAACCCATGGGACCTTATTTCGGAAAATTGAAGTCAATGGAGAGAGAGAGATTATCTTTCGATCCCGTTTGAATTGTGCCACGAATTACACATATAATGTTTGTCAATCTTAAAAAATAATTTCCATGTCAAAAAAGTCACAGTTTGTTGCAAGACGGTTGAAATATAAGACTATGAAAAATACGCAACTAGAAAGACTACAAATCCCAGAATCCCGGTCCTGCATGCTGGCAACATGCCCAGACTTGTAGTGATTTTCACCTCTTTTAAAACCTGTTAAACCCCAAGGTCCCCGCCGGCAGTCCTTCTTTTTTTTTTTTCACGACACTGTGTCTCAGGGGATCTTAATATTTAAAAACCTATTAATGTGTTATACCAGATTAACGGGAATGATCTCAGCTAACTGACGATAACACACTTTTTTACCAAAACAAAACACAAGTGTCATAAGAAGCATCTAAATGACCCCTGAGCGAAAAATGATAACGCACTTTGGCACAGAACTCAAGATAAAAGATACCCTTATTACTTATCGTAGCTGCACATACAATATATCCGATTAAAGCTGAGGTTCCACAGATTATTTAGGTATATATATCATCACTAAGTGATCCGAACTCGCGACAGGGGAAGCAAACTCAGACATCACAACACGTACCTTTACGTAGCTTTTACGGGAGATCGTCTCACCGTAGCTGTCTGATCAAAAGACTTGCTCAATGGCATTAAAACGAGAAAAAATGTGGCTGAATCGGTTAATAATCCATAGATTGCTAATGTGTCTGGGTAATAACTTTTTTAATTTATAATCCATAATTCCATTTTTATGTAAAAATCGGAAGGTCAAAGTTAGCTGCTAATGGTAGCCACCAGAGTTATCGTAGCTTCCGGTCTTGGCTATGCGGCAGTCTCACACACACACATGACCAAATAAGGAGTATGTGGGAGTTCCCCTCGATTCAATTGGCTCTGACAGTTAGAAAGAGATGTCAATCAGCAAAATCGACCAAGGGGGGCCAGAGATATGGAAAATCCACCCAAATGACCCCAGAAGTGTGGTTTTTTTTGCTAAATCTCTCTAAAAAGGTCAAATGTAACTTGTTTTGCATCAATCTTGATACAGGGTACTTATTATATGTTGTAGTTTGGATTCCTAAAGCTTTTAGTCTACCATCCCATCATTCAAGGGTGGTT